ACCAAAATGAACACAGAAAGAGAAATAAAAAAACAGTTCAATTTACCATTGCTACAAAATAACTAAGATACCGAGGAATAAACCTAACCAAAGAAATAAAGGATTTGTTCTGATAAAACTACAGGAGATTGATAAAAGAAATAGATGAAGATATAAAAAAGTGGAAGCATATATCTTTTTTATGGATTGGAAGAATTAACATCATTAAAATGTTCATTCTACCCAACCAATCCATAGAGTCAATGCAATTCCCATTAAAATACCAACAACATATTTCACAGAATTAGAACAAACACTTCAAAAGTGTTTGAAAAGTATGGAACCAAAAAAGATCCTGAATAAACACAGCAATCTTGAAAAAGAAGGACAAAGTAGGAGGGATCACAATACTGGATATCAGGTTATACTGCAAAACCATTGTAATCAAAACAGCTGAGTACTGGCACAAGATCAGGCCTATAGATCAATGGAACAGAACAGAGAACCCAGAAATTGACCCAAGAAATTATGCTCAATTAATATTTGACAAAGGTGGCAAGAGCATACAATGGAGTAAAGACAACATCTTTAATAAATGGTGATGGGAAAATTGGACAACTACATGCAAAAAAATGAAACTAGACCACCAACTTACATTGTATACAAGAATAAACTTAAAATGGATAAAAAACTTAAATGTGACTCATGAATCCAAAAAAATCCTAGAAGAAAATGTAGGCAACAACATTTCAGACATCACATGCAGTAGAATTTTCACTGATACAATGCCTAAGGCAAGGTAAACAGAGCAAAAAATGAACACATGGAACTACATCAAACTAAAAGGCTTATGCACAGCAAAAGAAACAGGCATCAACATGGAAAAAGAACCCATTATATGGGAGAGCATAATTGCCAATGATACATCAGGTAAGGGATTGATTTCCAAAATATATAGAGTACTCATACAACTTAACAAAAGGAAGACAAAGAATCCAATTTAAAAATGGGCAGAGGACCTAAATAGACACCTCTCCAAACAGGACATACAAATGGCCAAGAGACATATGAAAAAATGCTCAATGTCACTTATCATCAGAGAGATGCATATTAAAACAACTGTGAGGTATTACTTTACATCTATCAGATTGGCTGTCATCAACAAATCATCAAACAACAAGTGTTGGTGAGGATGTGGAGAAAAGGGACCTCTAGTACACTGCTGGTGGGAAAGGTGACTGGTGTAGCCACTATGGAAAACAATATGGTATTATCTCAAAAAGTTCAAAATTGAACTTCCATTTAACCTAGTGATCCCACTTTTAGGAATATACCCTAAGAACCCTGAAACACCATTCAGAAAAAATATATGTACCCCTATGTTCATACCAGCACTGTTTACAATAGCTAAGATCTGGAAACAGCCCAAGTGTCCATCAGTAGACAAAAAGATAAAAAAGCTTTGGTACATGTACACAATGGAATACTATGCAGCTGTAAGAAAGAGAGATCTCTTATCCTTTACAAGAAAACTTTTGCTAACTTATAGGATCACATACTTATGGACCAACCACATCCAAATCTCAGTAGTTATCTGCTTTTTCAACTTTTTTTTTTCTTTTGAATATCATGCTTTAGATCGTAAGTATGTGTTGGAAACTTCATCAAGAGCTTTTTATTCTACACATAATTTCAAAATCTCTGAAAACACTAAATATATCCAACTTATGTTAATATTGATGGTGTATATTTATAATGTCTTAATCCAAGTTACACAAATAAATAAAATTTAAGGGGTGGGGGGGCTTGCCGGTTTTGCTCAGTGGTTAGAGCATCGGTCTGTGGTCCAGAGAGATCCGGGTTCAGTTCCCACGGAAAGCACGTACCTTGGTTGCAGTTTGTCCCAGGCCCTGGTTGGGTCATGCAGGAGGCAGCCACTTGATGTGTCCCATTTATGTTGATGTTTCTCTCTCTCTCTCTCTCTCCCCCCCCCCCCTCTATCTGAATCCAAAATGGAAAATGGTCCTTGGGTGAGGATAAAAAAAAATTAAGAGGGGAAAAGAAGGACTTTCCATAACACATGTACAAAACAATCTTTGTTTATATTACTGTAAATATTTTTAATTAATTTTATTTTTCAATTACAGTTGACATATAATATTATATTACTTTCAGGTGTTTAGGCATTATATAACTTTCAAAGTGATCTTTCAGGTAAATCTTATATCCATCTGACACCATATATAGCTATTAGAATATTATTGATTATATTCCCTATGTTGTACCTTACATTCACATGACTATTCTGTAATACCAATTTGTACTTCTTAATTCTTTCAACTTTTTCAATCAACCCCAAACTTTCCTCCCATCTGACAAGCATCAAAATTTTCTCTGTACCTATGATATCTTTCTGTTTTTCTTGTTCATTTATTTTGATTTTTAGTTTTAATTGCTGAAAGATACATATTTATTGCCATTTTATTTTTTATATTTTTTATCTTTTCTTTTTTCTTCTTCTTAAAGAAAACTCTCTAACATTTCTTGTAATACTGGTTTGGTGGTGATGAATTCCTTTAGATTTTTCTTGTTTGGGAAGCTTCTTTTCTGGCCTTCAATTCTAAATGATAGCTTTGCTGGGTAGGATAATCTTGATTGTAGGTCATTGCTTTTCATTACTTTGTATATTTCTTGCCAGTCCCTTCTAGCCTGCAAAGTTTCTGTTGAGAAATCAACTGACAGTCTTATGGGAGCTCCCTTGTAGGTAACTAACTGCTTTTTTCTTGCAGCTTTTAAGAGTCTCTCTTTGTCTTTAACCTGTGTCATTTTAATTATGGTGTGTCTTAGTGTGGGCCTCTTAGGGTTCATCTTGTTTGGGACTCTCCGTGCTTCCTGGACTTGTGTGACTTTTTCCTTCACCATGTTAGGAAGTTTTCCATCATTATTTTTTTTTACATAGGTTTTCAATTTCTTGCTTTCTCTTTTCTTTTTCTGGTACCCCTGTGATGCAAATGTTGGTGTGCTTGAAGTTGTCTCAGAGGCTCCTTACATTGTTTTTATTATTTTGTATTATTTTTGTTGTTCTGATTTTTTTTTTTTGGCTTCCTTATATTTTAAATCTCCGATTTGATTCTCAGCTTTATTTACTTCACTATTGATTGCTGTAAATTATGCTTCATTTTTATTAGTGTATCCTTCATTTCTGATTGATTATTGTTTATGGTTTCCATATCTTTTTTATGCTGTTGGAGTTCTCACTAAGTTTATTAAGCATCCTTATGACCAGTATTTTGAATTCTTCATCTAATGGATTGCTTGTCTCCATTTAGATTAGTTCTTTCTCTGGGGTTTTGTTCTGTTCTTTCATTTCAGACATGTTTCTTAGTCTCCTCACTTTTGCAGCCTTTCTGTGTTTGTATCTATGTATTAGGTAGAGTTGCTACATATCCTGGGCTTGGTTGAGTGACCTAATGTAGTAGGTGTCCTGTAGCATCCAGTGGCACAACCTCCTCATTCACCTGTGCAGGGAACACAGGCTTTTTACAACTTCCTGTTGTGTTTGAGCCGTGATTGCTGTTGGCAAGTCAATGGAAGGGATTTATCTCTAGAAAGATTGACTATAGGGAGTGGCTGTGACCTACATGGAGGATCAGTTGTGCAAGAACCCACCCCACAGAGCAGGATGCACTTCAGTGGGGCTCTGGTGCCCATTAATTCAGCCCCTTGGGTATCACTTGTGGAGGTGCTTCAATATGGTCTGAAGCTGTCCATTGGATGAGCTGGCTCTGGGGCCTCCTGGGAGATGCAAGCAAATGTCAGCCACTGCCTGTGTTCTGCCCAAGGCCACCTAGCATGAACTACAAAGTGATCTTCAGATGGCTACTAGTTGGGCTGGGCTGAGGTGCCCAGGGGAGGCCAAGCTGAAAACCAGGGCCCACTGCTCCTAGTGCCACTCCTGGGGCCACATAGCAAGAGGTACAGGGTCAGATGCTGCTTGTTTGAAAGATTTTAGGAAAGCCTGAAACAGGAGCCAAGATAGGACATTTTTGTGGAAAAGCCACTGTAATGGCATGGGTGAGCCTACAATTTGGGTGGAACAGTTTCTCTGGAAATCACCCAGGGTGGAGTGAACAGTGACAGCAAGTTGTTGGAGACTCAAATATGGCATCTGCCTGCTGGCTCTGAGGCAGGAGAGCTCAGAAAAGGAACAATGGCCTCTGCCAGCACTTCTGTCTGGGAGAAGGCTGCCCTTCCAGCTCTGACCCTGAAGCCAGACAATTCAGTTCCTTTCCGTGTGTCCCTGGTACCTTTTGAGCTGCTACTCCAGCAATGGAGCTTAGACGGAATGAATCAGAGTAATAAAGTCCCTGTGCAGGCCTTTTAGGAGGAACTGCATGGGACTTCCAAAGCCCTCCTCACTCAGCCACAATCCTTGCTGGTATTTACAGCCAGAAGTTATGAGGGTTTCTCTTCCTGACACTGGAACCCTGGGCTGGGCAGCCTGTGTGGGACTGGGACTCCTTACTCCTCAGGGTGGGGGGGTCCTCTGCAGTTAAGATAGTCCTCTTGATTTTTATCAGCAACATGTGGTATTGGACCAGCACATTCTGCACTTCTGTCCCTCCTACCAGTCTCCATGTGTCTTCTTTATATCCTTAGTTGTAGGACTTCCATTTAGCTAGATTTTGGGAGTCCTGAATGATGGTTATTTTGCAGTTCAGTTGTAATTTTTATGTGGTTGTGGGAGGATGTGAGTATGGCATTTACCTATATCATCAACTTAGGAAATCCTAAATGACTGTAAATATTTATCACATATGATATCTTATACATTAACACACTCTATACATTCATTCACTCAGCACATACTTACTGATCATGTACTATGTACCAGACATTGGTGATACAAGGGAAAAATAAATAAATCCCTTTCCCTCATACAGCTTACATTCTATTCCTTTATTGTAGTATAAAAAGTTATTTGTAATTCATCATTTTGCATATTGTTTGAAACTGACCTTATGATTTCCTTCTTATTTTCAGTCCATTTGGCTGCTTCTGTTGGGAGCTTCCTCTATTTTGCCAGTTACTTTCCATTTAAATCCATTGCTCTTAACTATGGACAGATAACCCTCACCAACAAGGTGGCTGCCTGTCTCAGCTCAAATGTTGCATTAGCAATTGGAATTAATCATCTGCTCAAGTTGGAAATGAAAGGTAAGTGTTTGCCTTGAAATTTTTGCCTTTGCGCTTTGATTCCTAGAAAGGTAGAACAAGGCAGTGTGGGTGAGACAGTGAGTGAGGAGGTAAGAAATGTAATAGAAATTATTTATTTCCAATTTTTTTATTTATTATTAAAGGAAATTATGGGAACCATAAAAAAATCAGAAGTGTGAAAAATTAAAAGTCCCCATATCTTCACTATAAACTGCTAGTTATCCTCTCAAATATAATAATTTTAAACTTTCTAATCTAAAACTTGCTGTATTTATCTCAGGATATATAGTAGACCTCTTCCCATATAGACACACTCCATTTTTTTCAATATCACATTGTGAAGAAGTACTATACTTAACTTGTTTTCTTAATGCACAGTTAAATGGCTTTAAATTTTTTTGCTGTTACCCACAATAGTACACATATATTTACTCATACAATATGCATACTAGTATAAAAATTCCTAGGTGTAAAATGCTAGCTTACAAGGTTCATCTATAACTTAATTTAATTGCTATTGCAGTAACCTTCAAAAAGAGGTTAATTTCTCCAATAACACATAAGTTTTTCTACATCCTTTCCAATAATATACTACTCTAATTTTTAAAAGCAAATATAGTTTCATTTCCAATAACTAATTTTCCTCTAAACTCTGCACTACTGGGTTGAGTAAAGAAATGTAAGTGTAAACCAAGTGATTTATTTATGTTCTGAATGAATCAGTCTATCAGACATCTCTTTTTCATGTGTATGGATGAAAATTTATGACTCTCAAATGGGGACGTCAAATCGATGTGGTGTCCTCTGGATCTTATGCTTCTGTGGTAGAGTACCTAGTCTCAAATGAAGTGTGATTATTTATGTATGGCCCATGTAGCACAATATACTGGTACTTGTTAGAAATGTGATCCTGGCTACCTTTTCTATCCAGGTCCCTACCACTCTCTGGCACTCTCTGAGACTCTGGTTCTCACAAAGACTTAGAAAGTTCTGCAAGTTCTAACTTTTAAAACATGAGGATCCAGGAGCACTGCTTCAGGCCCATTTATCTAGCTGCCTAATTCTTCCAGTACCAATGCCACCAACACACAATGTTGGATATTTCTATATGATACCACCCAAATGATTCTTCAGGGTTTCTCTGAAATAGGAAAACCTAGGATCCATGTACCTGTTTTCTGCCCCTTTCACTCTATTCTACTGGGGGGAGGGAAGAGTGGCTTTCCTCCTTGTCTTCTTTTCTAAAATGAACTTCCTTTCCAAAATGACATTTGCATTGTTAGCTTCCCTTATTTAATGTAATCAAATTTGTCAGTCTTTTCCAAGAAATCCTTTCATACTCAGAGTCATAATTAAACTTATCTTTATTGTTGAATGTATTACAGATGTTCCTCCTTTTCCCCCTATGATCCCCTCCTCCCCCATCCCATCTTCTTCCTGCCTTTTCCCACACTGTTGTCTGTGTCCATTCGTCATACATATATGTATTTAAGTTCTTTGGTTTATTTCTTCCCACCCCCAACCCCCTTCCTTTTGAGGTTTGTCAGTCTAACAACCAATTTGTACTTCTGTTTTTTTTTTAATCTTCACTCGAAGACATTTTTGCATTTATCTTCAAATAGAGCAGGAGGGGGAGGAGAGAGAGAGAAACATCGATGCAAGAGAGACACTGTGAGTGGTTGCCACCCACATGACCCCAACCAGGGCGGGGACAAACTGCAACCAAGGTATGCCCTTAGCGGAAACCAAACCTGGGACTCTGTGGTCTGTGGGCTGGCACTATAACCACTGAGCCAAACCAGCCAGAGCCAATGTGGACTTCTTAATCCCTTCACCTTTTTCACTCATTCCTGCAATCCCCCTACCATCTGGCAACCAACAAAATGTTCTCTGTATCTATGAGAATGTTTCTGTTCTGCTTGCTCATTTTGTTTGTAGATTTCATTGTCAATAGATATGTATTCATTGCCATTTTGTTTGTTCATATTTTTTATCTTCTCTTTCTTCAAGAAGACCCTTCAACATTTCAGATAATACTAGTTTGGTGGTGATAAACTCCTTTAGCTTTTTCTTGTCTGGGACACTCTTTATATGTCCATTGATTCTAAATGATAGCTTTGCAGGATAGAGTAATCCTGGGTGTAGGTTACAGCTTTTCATTACTCTGAATATTTCTTGACACTCCTTTCTGGCCTGCAAAATTTCTTTTGAGAAATCGGCTGACAGTCTCATGGGAGCTCCCTTGTAGGTAACTAACTGCTTTTCTCTTGCTCCTTTTAAGATTCTCTTTGGCCTTGGCCGGTTTGGCTCAGTAGTTAGAGTGTCGGCCTGCCGACCAGGGAGTCCTGGGTTCGGTTCCCGCCAAAGGCACATTCTTTTGTTGCGGTTTGTCCCCGGCCCCAGTTGGGGTCGTGTGGGTAGCAACCACTCTATCCACATCAATGTTTCTCTCTCTCTTCCTCCCTCTCTCCTTCCCGCTCTGTCTGAAGATAAATGCAAAAATGTCCTCAGGTGAGGATAAAAAATAATAATAAGATTCTCTCTTTGTCTTGAACCTTTTACATTTTGATTATGATGTGTCTTGGTGTGGGCCTCTTTGGGTTTATTTTGTTTGGGACTCTGTTTTCTGTTTCAAATAGGTTTTCAATTCTTTGTTCTCTCTCTTCGTCTTCTGGCACCCCATGATGCGAACATTGGTACACTTGAAGTTATCACAGAGGTTCCTTACACTTTCCTCATTTTTTGGGGATTCTTATTCCTTTTTGCTGTTCTGATTGGGTGTTTTTTGCTCCTTATATTCCAAATCGATGGTTTGCTTCTTGGCTTTACCTACTTTACTATTGAATCTCTGTAAATTATTCTTTATTTCAATTAGTGCCTCTTTCATTTCTGACTAGTCCTTTTTTATGCTCTTGAGGCCCTCACTAAGTTCATTGAGCATCCTTATAAACAGTGTTTTGAACTCTGCATCTGTGAGATTGCTTATCTCCATTTTGTTTAGTCCTTTTCCTGGAGTTTTGTTCTGTTTTTTCATTTGGTACATGTTTCTTTGTCTCCTCATTTTGGCTGCTACCCTGTGTTTGTTTGTATTAGGTACAGTTGCTATGTCTCCTGGGCTTCCTAGGGTGGCTTATTGTTGTAGGTGTCCTGTAGGGTCGAGTGGCACAGCCTCCCTGGTCTCCCAGCTGGGCCCTCGAGGTGAACCCCTCATGTGGATTTTACACCCTTCTGTTGTAATTGAGTCTTGATTGCTGTTGGGACATCAATGAGAGGGTTTTACTCAGGCTGATCAGCTGCAAGGACTGGCTGTGCCCACTGACCACTGGCCTCTGACTACCTTGGAGGATCAGCTGTGCAGGGGCCCACCACACAGAGCAAGACTTACTTCGGCAGGGCTCTGGTACCAAGTCCATTCCTTGAGTGTGTCATTTGTGGAGGTAATTGGGTGGTGGTGCTTCACAGTGTTCTGAAGCTGTCCCCTGGGTGTGCTGGCTCTGGGGCAAGGTCAGCTACTGCCTGTGTTCAACCCAAGGCCACCAGGCATAAGCTACAAAGTGATCTGCCAATGGCTGCTTCTTGTGCTGGGCTTGGAAGTACCCAGGCAAAGCCAAGTTGTGAAACAAGGCTGGCTGTTTCTAGTGCCAGGCCTGGGCCCACTTAATGAGAGGTATGGGGAGTACTGAGACCAGATGCTGCTTGTTTGAGAGAATTTAGGAAACTGAAGCAGGATCTAATCCTATGACTACCTTGGATGATCAGCTGTGCAGGGGCCCACACAGCCCTTGGAAACAACTTGGGTGGGCCCGAAAGTTGGATAAGGCAGGACCTCAGAGAATCACCATGGCAAGGCAAATAGTGTGAGCCAGGTTGCTGGAGTCCAAGATATTGCTGCTGTCTGCTGCCCCAGGGAAGGGCTCACCAAAGGAACGTCAGCCTCTGCCTGCACGTTTGTCCAGGAAAAAGCTACCTCTCCAGCCCTCACCCCAATGCCAAACAACTCAGTTATTCCCCGTATGTCTCTGGTGCCTTTCGAGCTGCCTCTCCTACTCTGGAACTCAGAGGGAGCAAGTCTGTGCATGGGCCTTTAAAAGGAGCTTCCTGGGACTTCAGCAGCCTCATCCTCCCTCAGCCTCAGTTCCTGCTGGTTTTACATCCAGAAGTTATAGGGACTTCTCTTCCTGGCAGTGGAGCCCTGGGCTAGGGTCTGGGGGTGGACGGGGACCCCTCACTCCATAGGGAGGACATTCACAGCTGAGGTGTCCCCCTGATTTTTATCCATCACATGTGGGTGTGGGCCCAGCCCCTCCGCCTCCACCCTCCTACCAGTCTCCATGTGGGCTCTTCTTCAATTTCGTAGTTGTAGGACTCCCATTCAGCTTGATGTCAGGTGGTTTTGAATGATGGTTCTGTATTTTCGTTATAATTTTTTTTTTTTTTTTCATCCTCACCCGAGGACATTTTTCGATATTTTGTTCAGATAGAGTGAGAGGGAGAGAGAGAGAGAGAGAAACATCGACGTGAAAGCGACACATCGAGTGGTTGCCACCCACACGACCAACCAGGGCCGAGGACAAACTGCAACCAAGGTACGTGCCCTTAGCGGGAACCGAACCCGGGTCTCTCCGGACCGCAGGCCAACGCTCTAACCGCTGAGCCAAACCGGCCAGGGCTTTCGTTATAATTTTGATGTGGTTGTGGGAGAAGGCGAAACCACGTTTACCTATGCCACCATCTTGACCAGAAGTCCTACATTTTATATATATTTAATTTTACATTTGGGTTTTTAATAAGCATAGAGTTAATACTTCTGTTTATTTTGAGCTAAGAACTTATAACTATTCTCAATATGAAAATGGAGCTATTACAATCATTTACTGGGTAATTTGTTTTCTATTGGTTTCTAATTCGACCTTTGCTTTATATCAAGTTTCCATACATGCATTGATGTGTTTCTGGTGATCTTTTCTATTTGATTGACCCTTTCAGTCTATTTGTGTGTGTGTGTGTGTGTGTGTGTGTGTGTGTGTGTTAGTACCACAATGTTTTGACCCATTATTGCTTTACAACAAGTGTGAATATCCATTGGTTTTGTACCTATAACTTGTTCTTTAGTTACTCTTGTCACTTTACTCTCCCCTTCAATTTTAGATTAGTTTGTCAAATCCTATGAAAAATCTTGTTAGGATTTAGTGCAAATTTTGTTGCACTTACTTATGGATAAGGAGGACTAAACAAAATACTTTCAATGAGTAGTCAGTTAGAAGAATGTACATATGATTTCTTTATGGATACTTGCACTAGTCTTAATTTATACATGAAGAATTAAAAATTCACTAGAATTTATCTGGGTATGGGATTTTCATAGGCTTACTCTGCAATTGGAAATACATTTTTAGTTTTCAAATTGAGTTATTGTTATCAGGTTATTTTATTTTATTATTTAGTTATTGTTTATTTTCTATATTGCTTATTTTCTCTTTCAGGAACTCCTATTGTGCTTGGGTATAGAATTTCTCAAGTTATGATAGGCTTTCTGAAATTTATATTCTACCTTTATTGTTTTTTCTGTGGTTTCTAATTTGCTGTTCCTGCCTCAAAATGGCTTTCATTTTGAAAATCATAGCTTTCTCAAAAACACATGTTTATGGATATTCTTCTGATGGTGCTGGTCTATGGGAAAGGGGAGGACTCATGTTGAAGAAAGGACAAGTTACATAGGCCATTGTCATCTGTATATCTTGCTCTTTGAATTAGGAGATAACTACAATCCCTCACACCTTTTCAGATGTGCTACACTCTGTCTGGAAATAGAGGAATTAGAAGAATAAAATATTACTTGTCCTCTTTAGGTGACTTCCTTTTTCCTTTTTCATCACAATGATATCTAAGCAAAAATTGTCTTTCTCTTTACTTGGTAGTCAGCATCTATCTCTAGTACTATTGAATGTTTTTCCAAATTTGTATATCCTGATGGTTGTTTCAGTGGGAATTTAGCATGAGGGATGTAGAAAGGAGAAGGATGGGATCTAGTAGATCTGTTTTTTTTCTTGACATTTTTGTTATTGTTAATTTTTTTAGTTGTTGACATTGTCCAAGTCATTTCTATTTTTTATAGATTTTGAATTGCGGAGGGAAGAAATCAATGTTATTATATATTCTATTATTATTTTTAGATGACCTACATACTAAGGGTATCAAAATATAAATATAAATAATTCACAGTGGCAAAATTTTTTTCTTTAGTGTTTTAATCACAGAGCTCTTATCTATGGTAAATATCTTCTTTTCATTTCAGAAATTGGTCTTAGGTGGAATAACCTTTGGACACCAGCCAACCTTGAGGATAACCTCATAATGGGCTATATGATGGGAATGCTTTTACTTGATGCTTTCTTGTATGGCCTTGTGACCTGGTATGTAGAAACTGTTTTTCCGGGACAGTATGGCGTGGCCCAACCATGGCACTTTTTTCTTATGGTAAGTTCTAATGCTGCTGTTATTGTGAAAGGTCATAGTTCTCATTTCATAAAATCATATCAAAAGGGCAGGAATAGAATCTGTATACCAGCCATACTTAAATGCTAACCATTTCATGACACACCTTGAAGCCTTATACATATGCAGAGGCCCAAGTCTATGGATAAGACACTGAAACCCCATGCAATAAAAATTATGAGTACTAAAACCCTTCTTCAGTCAAGCGGTACACATTGAATTTGATTGTAGAATACAGAAACCTAAAAGTCTTTGCCAAAGTTATTCCCAACTAAATTAATATGGGATAGTTTCTTAGATCTTAGTGAGAAGAGCATTAAGTATTTCCTATATCTTTGTTCTCACCACCTGCTTCTTTTCAACTGCTAGACCAATGTACTTAGAGTAAGAGAACATCTGCATTTTGCCCTCCATGCCCCCTGCCATTACTGGATAATGGTACAAAGAAGTAGAGTAAGAGAACATCTGCATTTTGCCCTCCATGCCCCCTGCCATTACTGGATAATGGTACAAAGAAGTACTGTGACCAAGAGTAATAAGAGCATTGCCTATGACATCATTTTTTGGTAATTCCATATGTTCTTACTTGAACACTAGCATTTTAAAAGAGTTTTGACTTCTAAATCCTAGAAATTCAAATCATACATAAAAAATTTGCTGCAAAATATAATCCCTGAAAATGTGTTATAACTTTCTTCATCTCACAAAATAAATCAAGCCAAATTGTTAACTTATTTCCGTTTTTCACATTTCAGTTGTAATTCAGATGGAATTAATATAATTTAGGGGGGAATTCATATAACTTAAAATTAACCATTTTAAAGCAGACAGTGCAGTGGCATTTGGCATGTTTACAATGTGCACATATCTAGTTTCAGAATATTTTCATCACCCAAAGATAAAACCCAGTATCAGTTAAGAAGTCACATCTTACTTTTTCCTGTCCTAAACCCCTAACAACCACTAATCAATCAACTTTCTTTTTATATGTATTTACCTGTTCAGAATTTTTCATATAAATAAAATCATACTATATGTGACCATTTGTGTCTGGTGTCTTTCACTGAGCCTAATGTTTTTGAAGTTTATCCATGTTATGGTATGTATCAGTACTTTATTCTTTAAGATTACTGAATAATATTCCATTGTATATATATAAAACAACTCCTTTACCTATTCATCTGTAGTTGAACATATAGGACATCTTTTGGCTATTTGAATAGCTCTGTTATATAAATATCTCAGTACAAGTATTTGTTTGAATACTTGTTTCAATTCTTTTGGGAATATACCTAGGAGTAGAATTGCTGGTTCATATAGTAATTCTGTTTCATCTTTTCAGGAACCATGAAACTGTTTTCCACAGTGGCTGCATCATCTTACATTCCTACAAGCAACATACCAGGGTTCCAATTTCTACACATCCTCACAAACACTTGTTATTCTCTCTCTTTCTTTTATTATAGCCATTCTTATGGCTATAAAGTGGTATCTTATGGTTTTGATAGGCATTTCTCTAATAACTAATGATACTGAGATCTTTTATACTTATTGGCCATATGTAAATTTCTTTAGAGAAATGCCTATTCTTCCTGGGCTCACTTTTCTTTTCTTTCTTTTTGGTCCATGGGCTGATGCTGTAACCATGGACCCAAACCAGCCAGGGACTGTGCCCATTTTTTAAATTAGTTGTTTGTCTTTTTATATATTCTGGTCACTAGACGCTTATCAGATATATGGTTTATAAATATTTTCTTCCATTCTTTAGGCTGTTTTTTTTTTTCATTCTTTTGATAGTATCCTTTCATGTACACTTTTTTTTACTTTTATTGAATTTAATTAATCAATTTTTCTTTTGTGAACTTGGTATTATATCTAAAGAGCCATTGTCAAATCCAAGGTTTACCCATATGTTTTCTCCTAACAATTTGGTGGTTTGGTATCTTACATTTATATCCTAGATCAATTTAGAGTAAATTTTTATACAGTGTGAGGTAGGGATCCAATTCCATTAATTTGCATGTGAATATCTGGTTGTCCCAGTACCACTCTGAAAAAAATTAATCTTTCTCCATTGAATGGTCTTAGCACCCTTGATGAAAATCAGTTGGTCACAGATGTATGGGTTAATTTCTAAACCCACAATTTTATTCCATTGGCCTATATATCTATCCTTAAACCAGTACTACATTGTTTTGATTAGTTTTATAATAGGTTTTGAAATCTAAAAGTGTGAGTTCTCCAACTTTACTCTTCTTTTTCAAAATTGTTTTGACTATTAGAGGGCCCTTGCATTTCCATATGAACTTGAGGATCTGCTTATTTCTGAAAAAAATGGCCACTGCAATTTTTATAAAGATTAGACTGAGTCTGTTGATTACTTTATATATTATTGCCATATGAAAAATATTATCTTTCAGTCCATGAACTTTCTATTTATATGTTTCTTTTAATTCTTTAAGCAAGGTTTTATAGTTTTTAGTACTTGTATTATTTCTTTGGTTAACTTGATTCCTATTTTACTCATTTGGATGCTATTATAAATGAAATTGTTAATTTTCTTTTTGGATTGTTTGTTGCTGGTGTATAAAAACACAATTGGTTTTTGCCTGTTAATCTCATACCCTGTATCTTTGCCAAATTTGTTTATTAGCTCTGGTAGTATGTGTATGGAGGATTCTTTGGGCTTTTTCTTTATGTAGAAATATATGTATCATATCATCTTTAAATATAGTTTTACTTCTTTCCAATTTGGATGCCTTTTATTTCTTTTTTGTTTTGTTTTGTGTTTTGCCTCATTGCTCTGGCTAAAAGCACCAGTGCAGTGGTGAATAGCAGAAATGAAATCAAGCATCCTTGTCTTGTTTCTGATTTTAAAGGAAAAAATTTCAGTCTTTCACTATTGAGTATGATGTTAACTGTGGATTTTTCACATATGCCCTTTGTCATTTTGAGAACATTCTCTTCTATTTCTAGTTTTCTGTGTGTTTTTAATCATGAAACACATTGTCAAATGCTTTATTTGAATCAATTGAAATGATTATGTAATTTATCCCATTTGTTCTATTAATGTAATATATTGCATTGATGTATTTTTATATGTTGAACCACCACTGCATTCCTGGAATAATTCCCACTTGATCAGGACGCATAAACCTTTGTTGTTGTTGTTGTTGTTAATCCTCATGTGAGGATATTTTTCCATTGATTTTTAGAGAGAGAGAAGGAGGGAGGGAGGGAAAGACGGAGGGAAGAGGAGAGAGGGATACCCAATGTGAAATATAATCTTTTTGTTTTGCTATTGGATTCAGATTTGCTAGCATTTGGTTGAAGATGTTTCATCTATAATCATAAGAGATATTGGTCTCTAGTTTCTTCATGATATCTGTATTTGGTGTCAGAGTAATGCTGAACTCACAGAATGAGTTAGAAAATGTTTCCTCCTCTTACAATATTTGGAAGCCTTGGAGAAGAAATGTTGTTAATCTTGTTCAAATATTTGGTAGAATTCTACAGTGAAGCCATCTGGTTCTGCACTTTTCTTTGTAGGGAGATTTTCATCACTAATTCAGTTGCTTTACTTGTGATAGATCTGTTCAAATGGAGTGCTTCATTTCTTAATGCATACTTTGGTAATCACATTTTGGCTTTCTTTGTAGCGCTCGTACTGGTATGGCCAACCAAGAATTGGAAGGAAAGAGGAAGAAATGAAAAGCTGTGGAAGAACTGAAAACAAGTATTTTGAAGCTGAGTCAACTAGCTTGGTGGCAGGTATCCAGATAGAACATTTGCACAAGGTATTATTTCAAAGGGAAAGCCCTTTATTAGTGCCTGCCCAGGTGGTAGTGACCATGGACAGGCCAGATGGCAACATCCGCAAATGAGCTAGCTAGTAGGATCCATGTGTGGGCCAGATACTTGATCCACAGGCAGGTGGTTCTGGTGCCAGACACTGCATATGGTTGGGCAAGGTGCCAGGGTCCATGGGCAGGCCCAGTGCCAGGATCCACAGGTGAGACTGGTTACTCTGTTTCTCTTTTAGTTCATGTGTGCCTGGTATATTTTTCCCATTCTTTTACTATTTACTTATTTGTGTCTTTAAAATTGAAGAACATTTTTGTATACATATGTACATATAGTTAGTTCATGCTCTTTATTCAATGTGATGATTGCTGCTTTTTAATTGAGGTGTCCAGGCCATTTACATTTTTTTATTTTTTAAAAACAGTTTACATTCCATATTCTTTTGTGTTTCAGGCCATTTACATTTAATGTGATTATTGATATTATTGGTATGGTTTTCATTTATCATCTATTTGATTTCTATTTCTACCACATATTCTTCTCTTTTTTTGCCTTCTCTTAGATTAATTGAATATATTTCTGAGATTTCATTGCATCTCCCTTTTTTTGGGTATTAACTATACAACTTTCTGTTTTGGTATTTGACTGTTTTATCTTTGATACATTATACAACTTTAACTTATCACATTCTTCCTTCAAATGGTATTTACCATTTCACATATAGTATAAGAACCTTATATTAGTTATACTTTAATTTTTTATATTCAGACCCTTCATGCTGCTACTGACATACATTTTACTTATACATATGTTATAAAACCTGCAATATTTTGTTACCATTGTGCTTGATTTTTCAGTTATATTTTAAGGAAGTTGAAGAGAATGATATATAATTGCCAGTGTAGTTAATAATTCCAGTGTTATCCATTTCTTTGTTTATATCTAGATTTCTATCTGGTATAATTTTCCTTCTACCTCACACACTAGCTTTGACATTTTTTTAGTATGCTAGTGCTTAATGCCTTCAGATTTTCTATGTCTAAAAGAGCCTTCATTTTATCTTCGCTTTTGAAAGATATTGTCATTAGACGTAGAATGTTAGGTTAAAGATGTTTCACCGTCTGTTCACAGGAACTGTTTCCAGTGAAATTTCTGCTTTAATTTGTATCTTCTTTTCCTTGCATGTTCAGTTCTTTTTTTCTGGAAGATTTTAAGCTGTGGTTTTATGGACTTTGAAGATGATGTTTCTTGGTAGCAGCTTCCTTCTCATCCTTTGGGTCTGTTGAGCTTTGAATGTGTAGGCTAATTGTTGTCAGCAAATTTGAAAACATTTTGGCCATTATTTATTCAGTTATTTTTATGTTCCAGATCCTTTGGGGAACTTCAACTACATTTTATTATGCCACTAGAAGTTGTATGTATCACAGATACATACATGCTTTATTCTTTTAGGTACTTATTTCTGAGATTTGTTTTTGACTGTTTCTATTGATATTATCTTTAAGCTAGCTATTTTTTTTTGCAATGTCTAATCTGTAAATTCTATCAAGTATATTTTTATTTTAGGAATTATAGTTTTTAATCTCTGGAAGTTTTATTAATTTTTATCTTTATGGTTTCATCTTTAAATTTACTGGGTGACATTAATCAAATGATATAGATGTCAAGAGTACAATTCAATGATATATCATCTGTATATTGTACTTTGTGCCTACCAACCAAAGTCAATCTTTTTCTATCACCATACATTTGACCACCTTTACCCTTTACTACGACCCAATCCCCTTTTCATCTAGTAACCACCATACTGTTGTCCATGTTTATGAGTTTTGGTTTGTTTGTTTATTTGTTGCTTTCTGTTTTATATCCCACGTATGAGTAAAATCATATGGTTATTAACTTTTTCGGACTGCCTTATTTTGCTTAGCATGATATCCTGAAGGTCCACCCATGTTGTTGAAATTGGCAGTATCTCATCTTTTTTTAAATGTAGCATTATTGTTGAAAGTATTACAGGTGTTCCCCTTTTTTCTCTCATTGACCCCCCCTCTTCACTACTGCTCCCCTCCTGCCTTCCTCACACTATTGTCTTTGTCTATTAGTTATGCATATGTGTATATAAGTCCTTTGGTTTATCTCTTTTCGCCCCCTTCCCTCTGAGGTTCATCAGTCTAAGAAACAATTTGTACTGCTTAATCCCTTCAACTTTTTCACACCCTTCCCATCTGGCAACCAACAAAACGTTCTCTGTATCTATGAGTGTGTTTCTATTCTGCATGTTCATTTTGTTTGTAGATTCAATTGTTGATAGATATGTATTGATTGCCATTTTATTGTTCATATTTTTTTCTCCTCTTCCTCCTTCTTTTTCCTCCTCCTCCTCCTCCCACTCCTCCTCCTCCCACTCCTCCTCCTTCTCCTTCTCCTCCTCCTCCCACTCCTCCTCTTCCTCCTTCTCCTCCTCCTCTTCCTCCTCCTCCTCCTCCCACTCCTCCTCCTCCCACTCCTCCTCCTCCCACTCCTCCTCCTTCTCCTTCTCCTCCTCCTCCCACTCCTCCTCCTTCTCCTTCTCCTCCTTCTCCGCCTCTTCCTCCTCCTCCTCCTCCTCCTCCTCTTCCTCCTTCTTCTTCTTCTTCAAAAAGACCCATCAACATTTTATATAATAATGGTTTGGTGGTGGTGAACTCCTTTAGATTTTTCTTTTATGAGAAGCTCTTTATGTGTCTATCAATTCTAAATGACAGTTTTTCAGGACAGAGTAATCTTGGTTGTACGTCCTTGCTTTTCATCACTTCGAAAATTTCTTGCCACATTCTTCTGGCCTGCAAAGTTTTCTTTGCAGAAATCAGCTGACAATCTTATGGAACTCCCTTGTAGGTAACTAACTGCTTTTCTCTTGAAGCTTTTAAGATTCTCTCTTTGTCTTTAACCTTTTGCATTTTGATTATGATGTGTCTTGGTGTGGACTTCTTTGAGTTCATCTTGTTTGGGACTCTGTATGTTTCCTAAACTTGTATGTTTGTTTCCTTCACCATGTTAGAGAAGTTTTCTGTCATTTTTTCAAATAGGTTTTCAGTTTCTTATTCTCTCTCTTTTCCTTCCAGCACATCCATGATACAAACATTGGCACGCTTGATGTTTTTCCAGAAGCTCCTTACACCATCCTCATTTTTTCGGATTCTTTTTTCTTTTTGCTGTTCTGATTGGGTGTTTTTTGATTCCTTATTTTCCAAATCAATGTTTTGCTTCTTGTTTTCACCTTTTCACCTACACTACTCTTGATTCCCTGTAAATTTTTCTTTATTTCAATTAGTGCATCCTTCATATATGATTGTGCATCCTTCATTTCTGACTGGTCCTTTTTTATGCTCTTGAGGTCCTCACTAAGTTCTTTGAGCATCCTTATAACGAGTGTTTTGAACTCTGCTTCTGTCAGATTGCTTATATCCATTTTGTTTAGTTCTTTTCCTAGAGTTTTGTTCTGTTCTTTCATTTGGGACATATTTCTTTGTCTTATCATTTTGGCTGCCTCCCTGTGTTTGTTTCTATGTATTATGTAGAGTTGCTCTGTCTCCTAGGCTTGGTAGAGTGGCCTATTGTAGTAGGTGTCCTATAGAGTCCAGTGGCACAGCCTCCCTGATCACCCCAGCTGGGAACTCAAGGTACATCCCCCATGTGGACTGTATGCCCTTCTGTTGTAATTGGGTCTTTATTGCTGTTGGCATGTCAATAGGAGGGATTTACACAGGCTGATCAGCTGAAAGGACTGGCCGTGCTCACTAACCACCAACCTCTGACCACCTTGGAGGATCAACTGTTCAGGGGCCTACCACACAGAGCAAGACTTACTACAGCAGGGCTCTGGTACCCTATGAGTTCACCTCTTGAGTTTGTCGCTTCTGGAGGTGGTTGGAAGGTGGTGCTTTGACATGGTCTGAAGCTGTTCACTGGGTGTGTTGACTCTGGGGCCTCCCAGGAGGCACAGGCCAAGGTCAGCCACTGCCTGTGTTCTACCCCTGGGCCACTAGGCATAAGCTACAAAGCAGTAGCTTCTGCTGAGCTTCATGGTGCCCAGGCAAAGCCAAGCTGTGAACCAAGACTGGCTGCTGCTAGGTCCACTTAGCGAGGAGTATGGGGCTCACTGAGGCCAGATGCTGCTTGTTTGAGAGATTTTAGGAAAATATGAAGCATGCGCCCACGCAGGCCATTCCTATGGTAAAGCCACTGGACACAGCTAAAGTGGGCCCAAAAGCTGGGTGAAGCAGGGCCTCAGGGAATCACCAGAGCGGGGCAAACAGTGAGACAGGTTTCTGGAGCCCCACATGTGGCACCTGTCTTCCAGCCCTTTGGGGAAAGGGCTCACCAAAGGAACAACGGCCTCCGTCAGCATGTCTGTCCAGGAGAAAGCTGCCTCTCCAGCCCTTGACCCAATGCCAAACAACTCAGTTCTTCCCTGTATGTCTCTGGTATCTATCATACTGCCTCCCCCATGCTGGAGCCTGGAGGAAGTGAGTCTGAGTAAGTCCATGTGCAGGCCCTTCAAGAGGAACTGCTTGGGACTCCAGCTGCCCCAGCCTCCCGCAGCTTCAGTTCCTGCTGGTTTTTACAGTCAGAAGTTATGGGGACTTCTCATCCTGGCACTGGAACTATGAGCTCGGGGGCCTAGTGTGGGACTGGGACCCCTTGTTCCTTGGGGAGGACCTTCACAGCTGAGGTATCCTCCTGATTTTTATCCATCACACGTGGGTGTGGGACCAGGCCATCCGCCTATGCCCTCCTGCTAGCCTCCATGTGGTTTCTTTAATTTCATAGTTTTCAGGTAGTTCTGAATGATGGTTGTTCTGTAGTCTGGTTGTAATTTTTATGTGGTGTGGAAAGGGGTGAATACCACGTTTACCTACCTGCCATCTTAACTGTAAGTCCTCATCTTTTCCTAGGGCTAAGTAGTACAGTATTCCATTGTATATATGTACCATATATTCTCTATCCAGTC